ATCCTTTCGAAAAATTCCATTTTATCGATTTTCGAAAGTAATAACGGTAGCCAAAGCGATTGTTTTTTGAGATTTTACAGAATTTACAGAACTTCATTGAGAATTATATGTTCAAAGTGATTTGCAGTATTGGACATTTGGAAAACAACTGTTGAATTATGTAATTCATTGAAGAATCTGAAAGAAAAGCCACATAATAAATGTGTTGGTAGCTGTTATCCTCTTTCGCTTTGTTATTGCAATGGCGATTTACCTTTTTTTGGTTACAAATTCAAATTAACCAAATAAACCTGATTCTCAAACTATAAAAATTAACTAACAAAGTGCAGATACCACAACAGTTTTCGGGTATACGCAGTTTGCAGATTTCACCTTGCAGATTTAAAGCATTTCCTAAATATTGACAGAGTAAAGGTTCCGGGATTGGTATTTTCTTTAAATAATTTACAGATATTTGAAGAGGGATTGCTGTTGTCTAGTTTTTTGCATAGAAAATGATCCTCTCAAAGATTTTTTTTTAGTATTTTAAAAGCATTGTTAAAGTACTATGAACAAATCTAAAATAAAAATAAAATGCAAATTCGAGTGATTTTTGATATATTGATGAGTTTTTCAAATCTAACTTTTTTTTAAATGTTTTAGTAATTTTATATTTTTAAAAATTTTCCTACTTTTACTTTTTTAAATTTTAAAGCTCATAAGGAAGACCGGCAATTTGATTTCATACAGAAGCTGTAATATATAGATTTCAATCTTAAACATATTCTTAAAAACTAAAAACCGTAATAATTTTTTTGTTAAGAAATAAATGAAATGTACAAAAATAATGACACCTATTTTTCGCTTGGGTTGTAGAATATCTTTCTTTCTTTTTAAATTATTGATTTACATTTCCATCTTTCGAATATAACGGTACTTTAATTAATTGAAATGTCATGATAAACTTTAGGTTCAAAACGAATTAAAATTAACTATTAAAGAGCCGAACAAAAATTGATTCATTATCTCAAAAATTAGTAATTGCTTATGATGCAGGTAATTTTTTAAAAATTTCATTTGGTTGGAATTTACGAAAGAAAATTATATTCAAAAACTGTAGAATTTGAAAAACTTCTGCAGTGTCGTTTATTTGTTGACTTGTTGATACCGAAATTCCATCGGCAACCAGTTTAAGCCGAACGTGACGCCAATGAAACGAGCAACGCCTTCCAATTTGTCTTAAAAGTACGCAAATGATTCGATTTCCCTTATAAGGATTAACTGTTTCAGGTAGCTAATTTTAGCAGCAGGTAACTGTGAAAATCTCGTTAAAAAATGTTCCTTAAGATTATTGCGCGATCAAGTTTATAGGCATTCTAGTTTGTGCTCATGTAAAATATACTGGCGTTTCAAACGTCGGTATGTTATTCGAATCACGTCGTATTAGGATCAAACGCCCACTTATTATATGTAGCATCTATACAAACACGTAGGAAAAACGCGACCGAAGTAGTTTAATTAAAATGAAATAAAATAAAATGGCGCCGGCACCCGGATTTTCGAGCAGCTATAAAAGGTTTAGAAAAGGCCGCCTCACATGCATTTGTACGAATTGCCATATAACGTGGACTTTTTTGTTGTTGTTGTAATTCTACAGCGTCCCTTAAATGCAGTAACAGACGCATTATCCAAATAAAGAAAAGCTACCTACGACTGCATGTTAATGTAAAACCAATGCTGATTGATCTTGTTAACACTAGCGAACTTATAGATGTAGTTAAGAACTTGGAATAATAAATATAGTAGCTTGGATATGAAATAATCTATCACTCTAATAAATGTGTTACAAATCTCTAAGCTGTTAGTGTATATTATCAATAATTCCATTTAATTCATTAAATTCCCGCTGTATTGACGCTTTTGCTCCAACTCTGTTGCTTTGCAGAGAAATCTAATATTATCCACTGATGCCAAATCACACTTACTTTCATAAATATCAATTCATTTGAAAATCATGCCTAACATGGAATAAATAAATAAATATTAATGAAATAACACTTCTAACATATAGAGCGCTATATAAAAAAAGACCAGATAGAGCAAAAATATTGCGTTTTTTTGGAAAAAGGGCAACCGAAAAATATACAAATAAGCTAACAGCTTTTAAACATCAACATCTCTGCAGACCTGTAGACTGTCTGCAGGCTAACAATCTAATTAATGAATTCCAGCATGGTAACATAAAAGGGATGTCAACTCAAACTGCGTTATTTCAATTTACACAAATTGGGCTGGAATTTCTTGAGGGAGGAGATATTTCGCCAGGATTGTGTTAAAGGTTTATGTTAAGGTCGGTTTTAAAATTTTGCTTAAAAATTTTCATTTGAACTTCAGGTAATAGCCTTAACACGGGTTGAATCATATTTAATACGTAGGCATTATCAGGTAGTGATTGGGAAGCAGCAACATTAAATAGATGGGGTAACGGGAGTAATACGGGAGCAATTCTCTTCATGATGTACAACACATAGTTGCATTAGAGCGCACCTGTAAGGACTATTGATAGGTTCTAAAATAAGTAGATACAGTAATGAGTTTAAAAAAATAAACTAGCATAGTAAATAATGACAAAACCAATATAGTATTAATGATCGATAGTATATATATATATATATATATATATATATATATATATATATATATATATATATATATATATATATATATATATATATATATATATATATATATATATATATATATATATATATATATATATATATATAGTATATAGTAGTAAGTGATGCCCCTTCCTTGCATCTATATCAACTACCAGTTATTAGAGATACAGAGAACGAAAGGAAACTTTAGCGCTAATTCCGATTGCCATGCCTATTCAACTCGTTCGGGGGATCTCCTTAGACGGCCTAGGTTTAGATTGAGGAAGTCTGAGAACAACTCATTGAACCTGAAATTGTATAATGTTTTGCCAGGTACCGTGAAAAAGATGAGCAATAGAAAATTTAAACATACTAATAAAGAATTCCTGCAACGTCATTGTTTTTATTTTTTTAAATAACAATCTTTTAACGGCTACTGGAGAGGAATAGAGGAATGCATTTTATTTGTCTTGAAAAATAGGCACCTTTATGCAAATTTGACAACTGATCTATTCTATCAGAATACAAAATTACAGTTACACTAAACATTATCTTTGAGTTATTGAGAGCGGAGCATATTCAATATTATATTATTCTTTATCAAATAATACACAGAGTTTGACATGCAAATTAATATAGCACCTAGTTGTACCATATACTATATAAGATTCTCTAAAGCCAGAGTTGCATATCCATTGGGAATACGAAAGTTCATTAGAGAAATGTTTGGGTTTGGGTTTGCTTTTTTTCATGGTTTTTATTGACACTATTTAGCATTAGGTATACACATAACTTTTAAAGCAAATGTTCACTTGACGTGAAAATAATATTTTCCCCGGATTAATCCGCGTACCGCTCTTAAATAGTCTTATAAAACAACTCTTAAAAAACTTTTTTTAATGGTAATTGTCTTTGTAGAATAAGTTTCTTTGTTTTGCTGCTCCTGTTATTGACGTAGGAACCAAGCTTAACAGGTCCCGAAAATATAACAATGGGGTATCTATTGCCCGTTAGTGACTTAATTAAATAAATCTGCTTTTTAGAGTGGTGCAAGTTCTCACCTACGGTACAAATCTGACTTAAGGACGATTTCGTATTCAACATTGTTACGTCGAATCGACAACTCAAGTGTTGTGAATGATAATATAGAGGTACAGGTTTAATAATAGATAACGAGTATAGTTCTCGTAAAGATCTGAATACAAAGTATGTTGATTATAAATCGGCGATCTGGTTGTAGCAATTTTAAGTTTAACTGAAACGTCCACTTTAATTCCAGACGATTGTGTAGAAACATCTGACAATAAATACGACATTTAGTTATACCTGTCGATACCAAATTTGATAAAAATGTCTAGGAAGTTAATTTAAAAAATCTAAATTTTAACAACCCCTAGTTCCAAATTTAATAGGTTTAGAACAAATGTTCATTTCAACTTTTCTTCCTAAAACCATCTTTGGATTAACTCTTTAATCTTCAGCTCTTTAGTATGACTTGCATAATACATTATTTAAACAATATTGCAAAAAATTAAATCAGATTTGTTTAAGTGTGTTTTAATTTATGTTTATTACTATTGTTATCATTATTATCATAGGATATAGTGAATGATTTTTTGAAATTTAAGCAAATATTTTATTATGATTTTTATTATCATAAAAACTATTAACCTTACTTTATTTACTGGTAATTGAAAGTTATACCTTGAATATCCCACAATACATTAAATATCATGGCTCCAGGTTATCGAAATATCAAAAAAAAAGTAACAGTAGCATAATAAACTAATATATTTATGTTTTATAAAGATGTGCTTTTCATTTTATGCAATTTAATCAATTCTCTTTTTTTTTAATTATTTTTCACCTATTTATTATTTTTTATTAAATAATTAATTACGCTAATAAAAATTGCCTACCAAATGCCAATTATAGTAAAAACATGATCGGCTTAAAATATAAATTGAACTGAATCTAGAGGTATTGTATCAGCTGTATCGTTTAACTTTTAACCAAATATTGGGCAATAATCGGTTGCGAGTGATATTTACTTAATATAGCTTTCGGTATTGTTTGCATTCTCGAAAAACTGAACCGTTAACCGTAGTAGGTACACTCCCAAAAATTTCCTAGCTTCTGCATATGGTTAATGTTTGAAATCAATAACCATACTGTTAAACTGACACGGTAAAAAGGCTTGGTTACAGGTGAATCATAATTTAATGTCTATCTAAAATTTTAAATTAAACAACTCCGCCTTTACACAACGGCAACGGCTGCAGAAAAAAGCAAAACATTGTTGTTCGCCAAAAAACGGTTGTTCGATTATAAAATAATTTTAAAAATTTTCTTTTGTTTCAGTTCCAATACGGGCATTCACTTTCGCCAACTATCAGACGGAAAGCACCTCATCCAGTTAATTTACGACGAAAACAACCTACTTAGAGACTGCGAATTCGGCCACCAGAGGGCGCAAGTGAAATCGTTCCTAACAAATTTTAAGAAAGATCTGAACAATCTGATATCTACCTCGAATATTAGTGTCATTTCTCTGGACGGCAAACGGTTGCCAGAAGAATATACGTGGTTAAATTATACGAGGTTGCGCGAAATTTGCCATATGAAGCATTTGGAAATCAAAACCGACGCAGACGCCATGATAAGAAATAATAAAACACTTCCCGATCAAAGGTAAAAATACATCGGTCTAGAATGAATAAATTTCAACTTATCTCAAGATATTTATATATTCAAATGTTTTTATTTCACTTTCTTCAATGCCCCGGCATTAACCAGATACTCCAGCAAGTGCGTGAGTATAGAAAGTTGTACGCTCCAAAACAATTTATGCGAATGTAAAAATATTAATTTCCTTAGTAGCTTTTATTTCGCAGCTGGTTGTTTGAGCGCCATGTTGCGCTGTAACGGCTTTTTAACTTCTATCACTTCTATTGTAACTCTGATGTACCAGATCAGAATTCTTAATACAGGGTCTTTTATCGCATATTATTACAGATGATGTTCTATTGTCTCATCGGTAATAATAGCAAACAATTCCAAGAATGATCAAGGGCGTTGATATTTTTCGATTAAATTAAAGCCTCGTTCAAAATAATTACGTACGCGTGAAATAATAATCGCCATACAACCCGGGAATTACCAAGATAATTAAGGTTCGCGGCTGATTGATAATGAAGTCGGGTTATTTTTGTACCAAAAAATAAATCAATCTGCCGACAATACTTTCCAGAAGCGCATCATTTGCGCTTGAAATTATGTCAACATTTTTCGCACGTTCAAAACGAATTAAACACAAGCAAATAATTTATACCCGGTATACATTTTTTATTATTTTTTGCAATCGAATTTGTTGCTCTGAATTAATTTTAAGTATTGGGAACGATCTAAATACGTATTGCGCACTCATTAAGAAAATAACACCCAGAATATAAAAGTACATTAAATAAAATAGTAAAAAAAATATTATTTATAGTAAAAATATCTTAAGCTGTTTAATTTATCAATATATAGTACATTTGGAAGCCGTTAATTCTTTACCCACGTTTTGTATAATATTTGCCGTGGCTAAACTTAATAGTTTTTTAAATATTTGCTATTTTGCAAAAAATATATGAATTGCAAGATTTTTTCAAAAATGGTGTGAATTTTGTTGTAGAATTCTGCTTTCTGGTAGAAACATTGCTGAAACTACGATTTAATTGCTTAAGTTAATACAATCATTCAGCGCTATATACAGTGCGGAGAAAATGAAAAAAATCAAAATATCATAACTCATTTTTTTAAAATGAGATATACATTTCTTGTTTCATGCTGTTTCTAAGATTAAATCCTTCTCTTCAATAGAAAATAGTCCACCTATCTGATGCAGTCTCCGAATAATAATAAAATAATATAATATAATATAATAATACTAAAATAATAAATAATGATAAACAATAATAAAATAATGAATAAAATAAAACCAAATTTAATTGACAAATACTATTATTTTATAGAAACTTCAAATGCAAAAGGCAGATTTTTCAAAATTCAAATTTTTATACGTCACTGCATAATTTTTAATTGAAAATGGATCACTAGCAAACATATTAATTATTAATGCATTAAACTGAGATCAGAAAACATCTAATTAACTAGCATATATTAAAAAATATATATTCCGCTCATAAAAACTGAGATAGAATATTTTAAGATTTCTTCATTTCTGCCCTATATTTCAGACACCCTCTATAACGCTGACTAATTGTATTAACTTAGCAAATAAATCGTATTTATAGCATTACTTCGGCCAAAAGCTGTATACATTAATGAAAATGATTTTAGGTAATGGGTCTCATGTGCCTACTTTCTAGTTAAAACATTTTTTTCTATCGCCAACGGTTTCCAAGATATCAACCAGCGACGCACTATTCCGACACCCTGTATATACGATTGATTATTCCAATGATCTAAATTAAAACATATTGTAAAAACATTTACTCAGTTTTTTATTCTTCTGGAAGCGGCCTATTTTTAAAACTGTGTGAGATTAAATTCTTCTATTTATTTTCAATTTTAAATAGCATAAATATTTAATTTAATTTATGGTATTGCTGCAGTTCCAATAAGGTTGCTGTAAATTGTTTGCTCATTTAGCAATTAACCTTAATTATCAGGCCCAACCAATAGACAATAAATAATAAATTAGTATGTTCATGCGCCCGGATGTATTTCCAAGAAAAATTAAATTCAATTCTTGCAAATTGCATATATAATAATATGGCGGTGCTTTTGATACATACATTTGAGCAATGCAAGTTTTTAGGTCCAAGAGAGACATCTCAGACCTTCTACGCGTACCTGGTACCAAATGGTGTGGTAAAGGGTATTCCGCTGATAAATATACCCGACTAGGAGGGTTTTCTAGGACAGACAAATGTTGCAGAAGGCACGACCTCTTCTGCCCGTTCTGGATCGGAGGGTTCGAAACCAAGTACGGATTGTTCAACTGGAGGATGAATACGTTGATGCACTGCAACTGTGATGAAAGGTAAGCAATCCATAATTTGCAAATTCTTATTCAAAATAAATCTCGTCCGTATCGTCATCGAATAGAAAAGTGGCGCTGTTGCCAAGTTGTGAAGGATATCTGAAAGTATCTTCTTTTTTTAACAATATTGAAATTGGTTTACTAGAATTACAGGCATATGACATTACGAATAACAGCAAAATCCACTCTTTTTTGCAGAAGATTTTAGGACTTCGTTATTCTTAGCTGTTCTAGATATCGTACTAATGCTTGAAACATTCAGATTCAGAGCTGCAGCAGCATGCAACAGTGCCGTTAATGATTTATTATTAGTATATTATACAGCAAGTGCGGTAAAAGGTATTTGATTCACGAGTTTGTTTGACACGAGCGGAGCGCAGCACAGCGACTGTTTAATAAATGAGTCATATAAGTCATATAAGAGTTTTTCTACTCCCGTCTGTTAAATGCCTAATTACACACCGATCTAACGTGTGGTAAACGCCATTTTACTACTTCAGTTCTGTTTCCCACGGATCTAAGCCACTTCGTACATTTCCGGGATTTTACAGCACGGATCTAGGAGCAATCGGATATTTTCGGAGATATTTCCCACGCCTTGAAATTTAGCGTTTGTGAATTCTGACGGTCATGTCAGTAGATGTATTCGTGTTGTTTTGCGAAAATGTATCCAAAAACTAACAGTCGTAGAAAAAGTATAGTATGCAACACGTTGGGTATGCCCTTTACTGCACTTGTTGCATAATATACTATTACCGAACGTATTGCATACTATACTTTTTTTACGACCGTTAGTTTTTGGTTACATTTTCGCAAAACAACACGTATGCAAACGCCAAAATTCAAGGCGTGGGAAATATCTCCGAAAACATCCGATTGCTCCCAAACCCGTGCGGTAAAATCCCGGAAATGTCCGAAGTGGCTCGGATCCGTGGGAAACGAAACTGACGTGGTAAAGTGACGCTTCCCGCACGCTAGATCGGTGTGTAATTATGCATTTTACAGACGGGAGTAGAAAAAATTCACTTTCCTAACACCAGGTAAGAGTAACAATTATTTAACTGTTTTGGTATTTTGTAGTCACAATCACTATGGTTTTTACTGGTACTAGTTCAAATCGCTATTCAAGATTGCTAGGTTTGAAGAGTCGAATATATGGGAAAATATCCACCAACGAACAAAACAGCAAAAACCTATCAACTCTGTAACTGTTGTTTAACATGATATAATAAAATGTTTAAAAAAATTTATGTTCATATATCTTATCTCTTTGCCGCCGGACAGGAACGATAAACCATTCATATTAATATCAATTAAGTAGTGAATATGTCGCCGCGCGAACGATTACCAGTTCCGTCTACCAATATCTAGCAAAATAAGTTGTTCACTGAGGTCGTCTACGAAAATTGACCGTTCGAGCGAAGCGTGACCTAAAAAATATACGACGGATACAGAAGGTGTGAAATCCACTCACGGGCAGTTACTAGCAATTAGTGACGGCACAGTAAAAAAATCTAAACGCTAAATAAACACCGGTGAATGACAGTGCAAACAACAATAACAATAAATACATTTGCATAAGTGTACCCAAGAAAATATTGGTGCCCATATTAAAGCGCCTACCGATAATATCGAATTACTGCACAAATAATTTTATTGCGTGATACGTCCGTCTCGATGTTTTAATTGAGTAAGGAAATTTTAACCGGGTTTGTTAGAATCTCGTTTACAAATTATCTTATTCAAAGAAACGCTAAGGCATAAGTTATGTTAACCAATAGGTATTGCCCACGATTTTCATTTAGAATCAATATTGATCCAGCAAACCCACGCTTCTCTTCTCTTGTTTTTTCATGGCTAATTTGATCATTACACGGTGATGCGCAACTGTAAAATGTATACGATAGTTCTACAACAATCGCATCATCCAAATAGCGTTTAGGGTAGATATTGGAAGCGCAAATGCCGTTTCATGATAATAATGTATATTTGATGTACAATTCTTGTGAACAATGCACTTATCCTATATATGTCATTTTTAGGTAGGCCCTGCCTGATCTAACACAAACGAATGCTATAGTCAGTAGAATTTGCGATGGCAATGACTATGGATTTGGAAATAAAACCATTTTTTATTTTACCTATTTCACTAACAATGGCAAAATTAACCCATTTATGGTCTGTTCATAGATATGAGAAAGTGACCAATTGCTTTTGAATGGGATTATCCAAGGGTGGTCATTAATATGCAATGCAACAAGATTATTACTTTAAGTTTCGGAATTTAAATTCAGGCAAAATTGTGGTCCATAATAGAAAATAATTTTATACCTACCTGTGTTTAATATTCTTTGCTTTGGTATACTACTTAGTTTAAGTTTATTAGTAATCATTCTTATTTCGTGTGTAATCCAGCGTGTGTTGAATCGTGTGCGAATTATGCAAAATATGTGGGAGTCTAGTGATATCAGGGGATGCTCCCGCCCAAATGTAGAAAACACTGTTCTATTGAGACTAAGGAAGTTATAAACAATGTTTATTTGACTCTTATTGAACGTGGTGCCAGCAAGCAAGCATCTTTAGAAGAAACGACCACATTGAGGAAAATTCCAACATCAACTGTATGGAAAATTGTGAATAATCCCATTTCAGGGAGGAAAAAAAGAAGCGATGCTGATATTTTCTCGACTGTAGATGAAAGTGATCAAGATATAATACGGCGTAAAATTTACAAGTTATACGAGGAACAAAGCGTGCCTACATTAGATATCTTAATTAGGAGACTTGAAAAAGATGAAACCGGTGTTGAAATTAATTTGTGTGTTAAATTTGTAATTTTATTTTAGCTTTAAAGATAAATACATGCATAAATAAATAAATATTGTTTAGTATCTTTCCTAACAAAACCCCAAATAATTAAATTCTAAGCAAAGTACGGACCTGGTCGGCCATATTTCATTCTTACAGCTTGCCCGGATCTTTCCTTAATTCGTATCATTTAGTCACTTTCTTATATCTATGAACAGATTTTACCTGCAAGTGTTTGTCTATTAAGGCCCGGTGTTGTACACGGTGGCCCATTGAAGAGGGGCCTATACCTTATCTCGAAACCTAATGGAGTTACAAAAAAAAAATTAAATACAAAAGATATTTCTATTAAAATGACCTTTATTTTTTTTTACTTTCCTAATTGTAACTTTTATATATACACGGTGGTAAAACAAAGTTACATTTTTTAAAATAGAACACCCTACATTTTATGGTATTTTTGGATAGTCCTTTCAAAGACAATTTCGACGGTATATATGAGTTTGGGTCTGTGATGCACCGTTTCGAACTTATTAGCGATCACCTTCAGAATTCGGGTTATGTTTAAAGCATCATTGTTGGGTTGCTTATTAACTTTTTAAACTTTTTTCCATCTATTTTTTTTACGAAAATATGTGTTTCTTTAGGCCATGATCAAATTTAAAATATTTTCTTAAAATACACGGTGGTATCAAGTTTCGCAAAATGACACTTTTCTTAGTATTCTTAAATGAGACATCCTGTATATTATTGGACTTTCGAATAGCGATTTTAATAGCAATTTCAATTATATAACATAGTCCGGGTCTCTGATTTATCGTTTTGGCTTAATGGGCAGATAAACTTAAAAACTGGGCATAAGATCTAAATTATTAAGATATGAAACTGGCAATTAGCTCCTTGTCAACTTGTTCACAACCCTTTTATAGCATTGTTAAGAAGTCATATTAAAAACAGAATATTAAGCTTTGTACAATGTTGCCAAATTTCTCAAATTACTTATTTCTACGTTTTAGTTAAATTAGTTTTTCAATATGTCCGCAGTTTTGATGATTACAAGTAGTATATGCGATTTCTAAATGGTATAGAGCATTTGAGATGTAATTCGTTTCATTCAAATAGCATAGCATAGCATAGCATTGCAGCACTTCCAAAACTGTAGACGGTTTATCTTTGTAATCGATATCTTTCAATGTGATCCACAAAAAAAACTCCATCGGGTCAAATCTGGACTCCTCGCTGGCTAGGAGTTGGTTCCGTGTTGTCCAATCCACTCTCTGAAATTTTCGTTTAAATAACGAATGATTGCAGCACTTGGATGGCAAGGAGCGCCATTTTGGATGCTCTCTTTGGGGAATATTATTATTTATAAGTGGCCGAATTACGTTCCTTAATGAGTTTAAATATCGTACCTCTAGATCGTAATCTAGATCTTCAGATTGCGCACCATACTTTCACGGATCTTCGCCCCTGCTTGTTTACTTCAAAAAACATTTTTTTTTTCTGAACTCTAATAGTTGCACCGCAGCCGTTGTAAATATTGATTCATCGGTACAAATTATATTTTGAAATATGTTATCTAAAAAATTCCTATCCATCATTATATTGCAAAATTCGAGTTTTAAGTTAAAATCTGCTTTTTGTAATTTTTGTATTGGTGTGAATTTAAATGGCTTATAACTGTTAATTTTTAAATATGTTTGAAGTGTGCGTCTTACGTCCACATCTGGAGTATTTTCAAAATGCAGAAGAATATCTAGCTGCATATTTTCATCCAAAACCGTTCGGCATCTACTTTTTTTCACTAATACACTGCCATTTGCTCGAAACTGCTGGTATATTTTGGAATTTTCTTTTTCCTGGCAATCGCCTATCGGGACATTTGGCTCTATATTGTCTGAGAGCAAGAGCCGGACATTTGTTATTGGCGATCTAAAAGGTCAACTTATTCCCCTTCGTATAAATTATACAAAATAGACTCAATAAAAATGCATCTTAATAAAATAAATAGAAAATAGTGGAAGTCCGAAAAAATACGATTAAAATATTATAATACACTGATACCTGTCAAAGAATCAGTAATATTACCACAACAGAGAACTACTATTGTTTTCTAAGCTACTGCGATGAAAAGGTCAAATTTAATAATATCATCAATTTTGTGTCTGTGTCTTTCAACAGGCAGGTTCTTA